TGTGTTTGTTTGTGTTTGTGTGCATGTGTATCTTTATATGGTGTGTGTGTGTGTGTGTTCAGGCTGACAGAGGAGCAGATAGCAACGGTGTGTGAGTCTGTCCTGCAGGCTCTGTGTTATCTTCACTCTCAGGGAGTCATCCACAGAGACATCAAGAGCGACTCCATCCTGCTGACGTTGGACGGCAGGGTAACATTCTCACACACACACACACACACACACACACACACACACACACACACATACACACACACACACACACACACACACACACACACACACACACTCATTCAGCTGAATATCTTATCCAGAGCCACAATAAAAGAAGCATTTCAGATCATCAGAGAGCAGCAGTCTGTAAAGGGCGCCGGATCGTTGATCGGTCGTTGTTCAATGAGTTGTCCATTTTAAATGAATTATTTATTCAACTCAATAACGATGAGTCCTCTGAGCGAGTGATTCATTCATTAGCACATACACACATCACACAGGAAGAGGAGATCAGTTCATTTTTGAAGTCTTCTGTCAGGTCTGAGTCATTCATTCATCACCTGACACACAGAAGCCGATCGTACACCGTCAAATGTCAGATGTTTTGTATTTCCTATGTATTTTTCCCGCAGGTCAAGCTGTCAGACTTTGGCTTCTGTGCTCAGATCAGTAAAGACGTACCCAAGAGGAGGTCTCTGGTCGGGACTCCATACTGGATGGCACCGGAGGTGGTTTCTAAGACGCCGTACGGCACTGAGGTCAGCAACACTTCAGGCTTTAAAAAGTCTTAAATTCACTAAACTTTTGTCTTGTAGGTCTTAAATCATTTTAAACAGGTCTTCATTTTCTGCTGTCCTTGTAAATCTACCCAATCAGGCCAACATGCATCCAATAACCCAACACTCCATCTAACACAAATACACTTGATTGAACATGTACACACACACATCACCTATATACTCTAAGGGCTCTATTTTGCCGTGGCGCATGGTCTAATAGGGTTGAGTTTATTTTCTTAATGAGTTATAGGTGTGTTTTGAGAATAAACCAATCAGAGTCTCATCTCCCATTCCCTTTAAGACCCAGCTGCGACGCGCCAAGAGCACATTCGCCATTTACAGGGCGCAAAGTAAGTCTAAGTGGAAAAACTGAGCATTTCACAAGCAAACAGTAAACAGTGTTTTTAACAGAAAACAGTTAAACAGAGCATCTACTGCGTGAGAATGAGAGATAATGGATCTACTTTCACTTTGGCTCTTGGATAGGGAAACCTTTACACACAGACATCAATTAGCCTATAAATAATTAATTGCGTTTGTTAAGCGCAAATATTCGTTTCAAAACTATTTCTAAATTCAGTTCTAATTTCCAGCAAACGAATAAATGAACAATAATAACAAAATGTGCTCAAAAAACCTGAGTTATATCCTAAAACACATGCTGTGCCCCATATGGTCTAAAACCTGACAGCTGGACAAATCTAAGCTTGTTTTTAATAAAACAAATATAAATATGGATATAATAAATAATACTGCTAATTATAATAACATTATACAAAAGCAAATTGTTATGAATGAACTGAAAAAGCCTCCCGAGATGAAGAAGACATAAAAGCAGTGATTTTTCATATTTATGTAGGCTAGAAAATAGTATGTTGTGTAATATTTTAATCCTTTATATTTATATTCTATATATATTCTTATTATATCCTATATATATCCTTAATATTTAAATGTTTTCATATGTAAAGATATTTGCCTATTGCTATCTTGTGTGTATTAAGCAGTGTGTAAGCGAGGTGCAACTCTGTGCTGGAGTTTAGACCGGGTTTGTTTTGGTCTAATGAAAAATCTATTATAGTTTCTCAAAATAGCAACTCGCCAACAGTCCGCCTCAGAACACCTTCCTTTTTAGAGCAGAACGCCTATATGGGCGCACAAATGAGCGCTAATGCATTTGCTATTTAAACAGCGTAGCGCAACGCCTCAAAACCACTCTTGCGCCAAGCTGAAACTACCAAAAGACTATTGCGCCACGCCTTGCGCCACACTGCGCCGGGTGTATGATAGGGCCCTATAACTGCAGGTTAACTATGTTTATATATCATAACTTTAACTCTTAAAAGCGATTAGTTACTAGTTGATTAGTTATTAGTAACTAATAAAGTGATGGTAACTAATAACCTTCAACTATTCCAAATATGTAATGTAATGTAATGTAATGTAATGTAATGTGTATTTATATAGTGCATTTATTGTGTATGGCCATACACCCAAAGCGCTTCACAGTCATGAGTGGGTCTCTCCACACCACCACCAGTGTGCAGCATCCACTTGGATGATGCGACGGCAGCCACAGGACGACAGCGCCAGTGCGCTCACCACACACCAGCTATTGATGGAGTGGAGAGACAGTGGTCGAGGCAATTCGGTGGAAGGAGATGATTGGGAGGCCATGATCGTAAGGGCCGATAGAGGGACTTTGGCCAGGACACCAGGGTTAAACCCCTGCTCTTACACGAGAAGTGCCATTGACAGTGTAGTGTCCCCTTCACTATACTGGGGCATAAGGACTCACGCAGACCACAGGTTGAGCGCCCCCTGCTGGCCTCTCTAACACCACTTCTCACAGCAACCTAGTGTTCCCTAGTGGTCTCCCATCCAGGTACTGACCAGGCTCAGCCCTGCTTAGCTTCAGTGAGTAACCGCTCTTGGGCTGCAGGGTGATATGGCTGCGGCTCTTATATAAAGTATGCTTCCTCCTCAGGTAAATACATAAATAGCAGGCCTGTAGGTAGTCTGGTGGAAAGGGTGGTTCTATTTACTTAAAATATGGACCTTTTTTGCAGTTATTCGATTATTCGATTATTTTTTATTTTTTAATTATAATTTGCTGGATTAGCTTGTCGGATGGTCATCAAACACACTTTTTTTTTTTTTTTGGCTGTGGCATGTGAATGTGATTGTAATGCATTAATGTGCAGCTTTTGCAAAGCTGCTTTGAAACAATAATTATGAAAGTGTTACACAAATAAACCTGAATCAGATTAACTCTATTTACTAATGTGGTTTAATTATCGGGCGACGCTTTATAATAAGATTGTATTAAGTAATGCATTTACTAACATGAACACACAATACATTTGCTACAGTATCTGTTCATGATGGTCATTAAAATAAAGTAATTTATTGTTCATGTTAACTCATGGTGCATTAACTCAGAGGTTCTCAAAGTGGGGGTCGGGGGACAATGAAGGGGGGTCGCCTGGTGATTTTCAAAAATCAATACATTTTTATTAAACCTTAAGACTTACTGTATTTTATCAATAACCTACTGAAGAGAAAAAAATAGTCGTTTATAGTTACTATAAACTATATAGTTACTATAGTAGCTTATAGTTACTGGTTCTATTGGATTGTGACTTCTCAGGTAATACATTATACTAAAGACACAGCAATACTGTCAGATGCAGCAGATGGATTTTATAACACCAGGTTAAACTTTCTAGCCCATTTACCGCACTGACATACATAAAAAAAAAACACTTGGGTCTATTGGTGTGTGTGCGTCATTGCATACAAGGTTTCTGTATTTATAACCACCACCTCAGAGAATATTGGGGGTCACGAGTCACTGCCTTTGTCATTTTGTGGGTCGCGGGCTGAAAAGTTTGGGAACCCCTGCATTAACTGATGATAGCAAGCAGGCATTTGTATGTTAGTAATGCATTGGTGAATGATTAATAAATGCTGTACAAGTCTTGTTTTTTATTATGAGCAATATACACTCACTGGCCACTTTATTAGGTACACATTACTAGTACTGGGTTGGACCCCTTTTGCCGTTTAGAACTGTCTTAATTCTTCAGGGCAGAGATTCAACAAGATACTGGAAATATTCCTCAGAGATTTTGCTCCATATTGACATGATAGCATCACACAGTTGCTGCAGATTTGTCGGCTGCACATCCATGATGTGAGATTTCTCATCAACAAGGCATTTGCGCCCACAGAACTGCCGCTCACTGGATATTTCCTCTTTGTCGGACCATTCGCTGTAAACCCTAGAGATGGTTGTGCGTGAAAATCCCAGTAGATCAGCAGTTTCTGAAATACTCAAAGCAGCCCGTCTGGAAGCAACAGCCATGCCACATTTAAAGTCTCTTATTCTTCCCCATTCTGATGCTCGCTTTGACCTGCAGCAGATCCTCTTGACCATGTCTACATGCCTAAATGCATTGAGTTGCTGCCATGTGATTGGCTGATTAGAAATGTGCGTTAACGAGCAGGTGAATACCTAATAAAGTGGCCGGTGAGTATATAATATTGTCTTGTAACATAATAACATGAAATTCAATAGGGTGTGCTACAGTGCACAAGCGTGTGTGATTGTGCATAAAGTTGCATGTTGTTGTTCAGAATCTAGAATCATACTCTCTGTCTGTGTGTCTGTCTGTGTGTCTGTCTGTGTGTCTGTCTGTCTGTCTATCTATCTGTCTGTTTGTGTGTGTGTGTGTGTGTGCGCGCGCAGGTGGATATTTGGTCTCTGGGCATCATGGTGGTGGAGATGGTTGATGGAGAACCTCCGTATTTTAGCGAAACACCAATTTCTGCTATGAAGAGACTGAGAGACGAGCCGCCGCCGACCGCCAGAAACGCCAGCAAGGTCAGACCAGCGGGATTATTATAGCGCAGTAAAATGATTAGAAATTATACATGCTGGGCAAAGATTGATGGCAATTCATCACATTCTAGAATTAAGTCAGAATTTTTTGCCCTCCTGTAAAATTTTGTGTGAAAAATATGATGGATTAGTTGGCAGTTCACTCCACTGTGGCGTTCCCTGATAGATAAGGGACTAAGCTGAAGGAAACTGAATGAATAAATATATATTAGGGGAAAAATTGTATTGGATATCACTTCTCATCCATCCCCATAAGATGCCATTGTTTAAATGATCAGTCCAGCAGGTGGCGCTGATCAACAGCAGTATTCCTTCAAAGATATTCAAAGCAAGTTAAATAGACCTTTATTATCACAGCGGAATTGAACACCGGAGGCGCCCTTCGAATCAATGTATCGCTATTTCCGGTTTCACCAGGAGTCGCAGAAACATGACAGCCTCAGGACAGCGGATGACTTTCTCACTGTAACTTTGCCATCATTTGGACAGGAAGATGTTATTCGGTGAATGTGTAAAACTGACGTAGCCTAGACAGCATTTAAAAGATACCGATTTGCAGAATTTGTGCAGATAACGTGTCTTACACAAAGCGTTTGCAATGTCAGGTTCCAGTAAAGTGCACAGCTAACAGCATAAGGTCTGCTCATTCAAGCCATTCGTAAGCAAGATTAACACGGCTATTTAACATCCAGCAGGTTTAGTTTTATGTAGTGATGTTCGGATCAATACTAAAATATTAATATCTACGATACCAGCTTTGTATGTTCTAGAATAGATTATTTTATCAAAATATCCATATTTCGATAATTTGGAGCAAATATGTATTTTATTGGAAGTAGAAACACAGCGGAAAGTAACCACAATTTCCCTAGTTTCTCTGAATAATTCCAACTTAGTCGGACTACTGCAGAATCGGAGCTCGCTAGCCACTCAGTCCGCTGGGTGGGCTGGCACATGCAAAGTTATGTGTGGAGCTCCTTCACTTCCATAAACTCAAACGATGCAGTTTGTGACACGTGTAACAAAAACAGTGAGGTACTGTGGTAATACTACAAACCTAATCAAACATCTACATAGAAATCACAAGACAGAATATGACAACGCCATAATTAGGCGGTCAGACGAGGAGGAAAGGAGAGGTACAGATGCTGTTAGGGCGAGACAGACATCGCTTTCAGAGTCCTTAGGTGCAGCAGGCAGGCACCATCCAGGTACAGAGGGAGAAAATGCGGCGATGTGGCTGTGTTAGGTGTTGTGGGCTTTTTTGTGACAATGATAAAACAACGAAAAAAGGTTCAAAACACTTTCATGAGAACCGGATTAACATGTCACAAAATGTAGAAGTGTGATTGTTCTTTTAAGATGTTCAGGCAGGCGTTTTAAGATATATACATGCTCAGAAGCTGTCAATAAATATGTAAGTTGGCTTTTTGTATGATAATTCTTCATCAATAAACAAGAATAACCCGTAATATGGTTCGTATTCAGTATAAAGTGACACTTTTAAGTACACTACTTGTTACTTAAATAACCGAAACAGTCTTTTTCGGGCAGTATCGGAATCGGATCAGTATCGCCGATACTCGTCTTCATTTTACTTGATATCGGATCGGATAGGAAATAATTGGTATCGCACATCACGTTTTATGTCAGTTGTCCTTTCTGTAAACTGTGCTAACCCCTCCTTCCTTTTTAATCAGAGTCAGATATAGTGAATGGCGAGGCAGTTATACAGGCGAGTTGCTATCGGTCAATGCGGGAGCCCCATACATTACAGGCTGTTTATTGCTTTGTGTAACACGTTAGCTCCTTCTACTCGTGGAAAAAAATAATTTTTATTATTTATTTGAAGAACAGAAAATAACAGTTTACAAAACAAAAATATACATGCCAGGAGGTAATAAAATACAAATATACAAAATGTAATGTTACATATATAATAATTAAATACATTGTAGAGGTCACACATTTTTAAAGTGGGTCGAGCTTTCTTGTTTAGTGAGTTGATACTGGTACTATCCAGGGACCAGACGAGTCTTCGCTGAGGCCAGCTTCCAGCCTCCACCGCTGAGACTGCAGCGCTGCACAAGACTTTTGGCCAGCGGAGAAATTAAAATTGTCGTGCCCAACTGAGTCTGGTTCTCTCAAGGTTTTTATTTCTTCACTCTCCTATTGGTGAAGTTTTTTTTCCCTCTCCGCTGTCGCTACTGGCTCGCATGGTTCAGGATTGGTAGAGCTACACATCGATGAATTTGCTCTTCAGTGTTTGAACTCTCAGTAATGATTAAATCATACTGAACTGAGCTAAACTGAACTGAACTGAACTTAAACACTAAAAACTGAACTACACTGTTCCAGTTACTATGAGCATTTATGTGAAGCTGCTTTGACACAATCTACATTGTAAAAGCGCTGTACAAATAAAGCTGAATTGAATATTATACAAGCATAGTTCAGTCATCAGTACCTTAAAATCTGGTTTCTTCAAAACTAAGCCCACCAGTCTTTGATTAAACATGATCTCCGCTCTGAAGTGCATACAGCATACGAACGTACTCTCGCATATAACTTGAAACGACATTCAACCCCTCTAATAATTTCGCCCATGATTTGCTCTGTCCTTCGTCTTTCGGGAGATCGTGGAAAAGTAAGGGTGTCATGTTTTTGAGTTGGAGCAGCAGGGAACGCTGCAATAACAGCGATGAGATGACCCTGCCATTCTTTCTTACTCCGTCGCATTGAAACCGGATGTTGTGGTACGCTGTTTATCTTACCGGAACCAGGAAGTGTGAAAAAGGCCTATAGATTAAAACTATTCTTTTAAAGCTGTCCAAATGTCACTCTTTATGGGCATCGATCTATAAAGTTTTAAGCATCCTCCTTACGCACACACAATCAAAGCATAAAGGGTCATTTTGCTTTCTATGAAAAAGTCAGAATCATGTATTCCAGAGAGCAGTGTAATAATCTGATTTTATTATTATTATAACCATAACAAGCCACATGCCGTAGTTCTGGGATATTGACGGTGTGTGTTCTGCTTCATCAGATCTCTCCTGTCCTGCGGGACTTTCTGGACTCCATGTTGACCCGTGAGCCGCAGCAGAGATCCAGCGCATCTGACCTGCTCCAGCACCCGTTCCTGCTGCAGTGTTCATCACCCCGCTGCCTCATCCCACTGGTTGAGCAGACCCGCAGACGCACATCCCGCTGCTGACACACACACACACACACACACTCATACTAACCCACGCTCATTCTGATTACGTACCCCTATATACATTTCTGGAGAGCGTCAAATACGTCCCAGGAGCTACGTTTTTTTGCAGTTTTGTTTTTGCGAATCCACCAGAGGACGCTGTGTGTGCTTTTTCAGATCTCAAATCTCTCTTGTGAGTATGCCATTCACGCCTAAACCCATCCAATAGTGTTTTAAAAAAGCAATCCAGAAAAAGAAAAGCCCTTGCAGCGGCCTGGTTTTTACCACGTTTTAAGAGTTCACACTTAGCAGAAGATTGAATATAAAGCTTGTTTGGGATGCTGTCCTGGGAGAGAGCCCTGAGCTCAGAAGATCCTCATAAGAAATCTGGGGCTCCCTCCCGTTTGCAAGGCGAGAGGGGAGTTTGAGCTCTGGTAGATCTGGAGAACTCCCCTGCTGTAGTAGCTAATGAACAGATAGTGATCGCTCTTAAGAGATAACTACTGACTAGGAGCATGTCTATGGTGCTGATTTGAGTTAGTCAGTTAACTTAAGTTGCGTGTTTTTGGACAGTGGGAGGAAACCGGGGTACATGTGAGCACTGGGAGAACGTGGAAACTCAGCACAGAAACACCGGCTGGCTCGGTAAGGACTAGAACCAGTGACGTTCTTGCTGTGATTAACTGAGGGTATTTATAGTGGCTTAGGAATCGTCTGATTGGTCAATCATAATTTGTAATCATAGCAGTCATAAACACGTGACCCTCTCCAAATTAGCTTATAAATAAACTTCACTTTGGTTTTTACCACATTCTCACCCTGTTATTTGCTGGTTTATTTATTTTTTTTGGCTTCTGTTTTTGTCTTACCTGCTTTCTGGAACCGTTCTTCACCAGGATCTAAACCCATCTTACAACAGTAAACTCTAGACTCTGCTTTGGTTATGTTGGTGCTGTTTTTGACCCATTAAATTTCATTATAATCACATTTTAATACCTCATTTATAATCACTGATTTATTTTGTCTTTGCCATGATGGCAGTAAATACTATTAGACTAACAGTGGTTTGTTCTGGAGACAATCCAAAACTAATGTTGCTTAAGGGGCTAATAATATTGACCTTAAAATGGGTTTAAAACTATCATGATTAGAAATGTGTTGAAAAAAAATCTGCTCTCTGTTAAACAGAAACTGGGGAAACAATATACAGGGGGGCTAATAATTGGATCAAAACCCATCCTCACAGTCAATTCCTCTCTGCGTGTAAAGTCCACTGACGTACATGGCGAGCCACTGGACAAACTGGTAACAGCAGGAAAACTGTCCATAAGGAGGTAAGCGGTCAGCTGCTGGCGCAAAAAGGAGCGTCATACCACCCCATAGCGTTCATTTTAAAGACAAAATGCAGCCATACGTTCCTCTGGTTACATAAATTGCGATCTCCAGAAATGTATATAGGGGGACGTTTTTAGAATGAGCCGGTGCTGCAATAGTCATATCTGTGGACCCTTTTCACAAGACTATGACACGTTTAATGGTCATCATAATCCTAAATATTTACGCTTAAAAAAAAAAAAAACATACGTACATTTATATTTACGTGTGTATTAGGTCATTTTCACATCAAATGACAAAAAAACGAATTACTGCTTGTGCGAGGCGTTAAATTTGGTGACAAAAACTCAACAATACACTGTTCAGATTGAATCCCCTTTGGTTATGCTGGTGCTGTTTTTGCTCCATTGACTTCCATTATAATCACATTTATTGACTGCAAAGCTTATAATCATGCATTCCTGAGGGACAATGTGTCGTTTTAACGGTTGTTAAAGAAGATATTTTGACCATAATGCTCAGCTCTAAATATACTGGATGCCATGACATGAATGCTAGTTTTGTTACTATTTAAATGTAAGTATTTCTGTTCCTTCTAAATAAGTGAGGACGTTATAATCAAACAGAAAAACAGGACATCATTAATCCACTGCACAAAACCTTTGACTAATGTTGTGTGCAATATCGAGATGTTTGATGGGGAGTTTATTGAATGCATCTTTTGAAACTCTTCACAGACATGCATTAAGAGTAACCCTGTTATGATGAGTACAGTATGTGTTAACCTTCCCTCTTTTCAGATCCAGCAGACTGTGAAGACACTGTTTTGATCTTTGTCTTCAGAGATAGAAAAAGACAATAAATGATAAATTAAGTCATGCTGTAAATATTTAATATAGCGATTTTGAACTCATTTGCTTCAGTTAAAGTCATAATTATTCATCCTCCTGTGAAAGTTTTCTTTTCAAATGATGTTGAAGAGATTCAGGAAATGTTCACAGTATTTACTATAATATTTGTTCTTCTGGAGAAAGTCTTATTTGTTTTATTTCGGCTAAAGTAAAAGCAGTTTTTAATTGTTTTAAAGCCATTTCAAAGTCAATATTATTAGCCCCCTTCAGCAATATTAGTGTTGGATTGTCTCCAGAACAAACCACTGTTATACAATGACTTGCCTAATTACCCTAACTTTACCCTCATTACCCTAGTGAAGCCTTTAAATGTCACTTTAAGCTGTATAGAAGTGTCTTGAAGAATATCTAGTCTAATATTATTTACTGTCATTATGACAAAGAGAAAATAAATCAGTTATTAGAGATGAGTAATTAACACTATTATGATTAGATGTGTTGGACAAAATCTGCTCTCTGTTAAACAGAAACTTGAAGAAAATATACAGGAGGGCAAATAACTCTGATTTTAACTGGAATCCATTCAGACTAGTGGACGGAAAACATTGTTACGACTTTAGGGATTACGCTGTAGCAGAAATGGGTTTGGTTACTGTGAGCAAGAAAATGTGGACGAAACAAAACAATGTTATAAAAATGAGTCGAACCAGAAGGATTTGGCAGAAGTGAAAGTATTGATCATGTTTGGAAACATCTTAAGGGGCCAGCGTCAAAATAATAAATAAATACACTATTTTAATAACAATCAGGTTTCAGATAAATGTTTTTAAAGTTATACAAAGTTCAACCTTTGTGTGTTGTTGTGCCGTTTTCATCCACTCTGAGGTGATTTTGAGTCTTAATTTGGCCTCGACTATCTCTTCTCTGTGTTTTAGCAAATGAGATGATTTTTGCCGACAAATCTTATTTTGACACATTTTGGGAAAATGCTGAACACAATGAAGTTTTAAAACAACAGTAAACTCTAGGCAGATTGACTCTGCTTTGGTTATGTTGGTGCTGTTTTTGACCCATTGAATTTCATTATAATCACATTTTAATAACTCATTTATAATCACTGATTTATTTTGTCTGTGCCATGATGGCAGTAAATACTATTAGACTAACAGTGGTTTGTTCTGGAGACAATCCAAAACTAATGTTGCTTAAGGGGCTAATAATATTGACCTTAAAATGGGTTTAAAACTATCATGATTAGAAATGTGTTGAAAAAAAAAAAACAGAAACTGGGGAAACAGTATACAGGGGGGCTAATAACTCTGACTTCAATTACAAGCCTTCCTTCAGACTAGTGGAGGGAAAACTATAGGGTTTAATCCTTAATAGTGAAAATATGGATGAAATTAAACACATAAAAATGTGTTGAGAGATTCAGCAAAAGTGAGAGTATTTATTGGTGTGCTTGGGAATCTCTTCAGGGACAGACAAGGCCAAATTATTTAAATAAGTCAGATTTCAGATCATCTTTCTTTAGGTGTTACAAAGTTCAACCCTGTGTGCTGATGGGTCGTTTTCATCCACTCTTGGCTGATTTTGAGTCTTAATTTGGCCACAACTTTCTCGTCTCTGTGTTTCAGCAAATGGGATGACTTTTGGTGCCAAACTTTGAACATTTTATTTAATTTTAAGTGGAAAGCTTCATTTCTTGTGCCCAAGTAGTTTAAATTAGCTTGAAGTTTTAGTCAAATGCCTTAAAAACAAATTTTTCCAACAATTTTAGAAGCTGTTAGATTAGCCTGTGTGTGCTGTTGGTTTTCACCCACTTTGAGCTGATTTTAGAGTCTTAATTTGGCCACAACTTTCTCTGGGTTTCAGCAGATGGGAGGATTTTTGCTGACAAATCTTATCTTGACATATTTATTTTATCTTGACAGAAAATGCTTGGGAGTTTTCCTGGAACTCAACAATGCTCTGTTCAGACTGACCTCTCTTTGGTTCTGCTTTTGCCCCATTGACTTCCATTATAATCACATTTATTGACATGACAGCAGATAGTCATGCGCTCCTGATTGATGCTGGTTTTCCCTGTTGGGGTTTGTCCTGTTGATCATCAGCTGCAGTGCAAAATAAAAAGCATAGTCTCTGTCTTTTATATGGAGCACAGTCTGTAAGACCTTTGCACACTTATCTTGATATGTCTGAGAAACTCAACATCCTCCCCTCGGCTCTCAGAACACAGTAAACACAGTGAGTGTATTCCTGCACACACACTATAATCTAGAGATTTCCAAAAATTTCAGCCCTGCGACCCCCAAAATAACAATGCCAGTGACTCTGGACCCCCAGTATCATCTGAGGTGGTTATAAATATATAAAGCGCACACACAACAGGCCCAAGTCTCTTCATCATTTAATGGTGAGTGGTGTAAAGGTGTCAGAAAGTTTAACCTGGTGCCATAATAATCAATGTGCTGCATCTGATGCTATTGCTGTCTTTACTATAACGTTATCAACCCGAGAGTTGCTGATAGTTCTTTATTTACCTACATTTTTTCTTCTTCTGTATGTTATGGATAATCGATAGTCGTTCTAATAGTTTCATAAAATGAATTTGATTTTTGGAAATCACCAAGCGAGCCCCACTTTGGGAACCACTGCTATAATCTGCAGTTTTCCTCCACTGAACTCCATATAACAGACAGAAACTCTTCAGCACAGGCCAATCTAGAGGGTTAATGCAGACAACTGATGATCAACAGGAACAATGACACATGTTCCCTGTTTTCCATGAGTGTGTGTGCATGTGTGTGTGTGCTCTGCTGTGCTGAATGAAGCTCAGTGACTGAACAAAGAGTCTGATCACAGAACAGTCTGCTCTTCATTCTTGTGTCTATTTGGAGGTGTTGCTGAGTGGAGAAGATAGAGGACGTCCTTCAGCCTGAAGAGCGGGAATGTCTTGTATCAAAGGGCCCTGATAACACAAACATGCACACACTGATACACAGAAACACACACTCCCCCCACACACACACACTGATACACACAGAGGCGCACTGAACTGCATTACTTATTTGATTAAAATAACTCAACACTCAGTGTTTAGCACTGTCGCCTCACAGCAAGAAGGTCGCTGGTTTGAGACCCGGCTGGCTCAGTTAGCGTTTCTGTGTGGAGTTTGCATGTTCTCCCTGTGTTGGTGTGGGTTTCCTCCTTGAGCTCCGGTTTCCCCCACAGTCCAAACACATGCTCTAGGGGAATTGAACTAAATTAACCGTATTGTATGGGTGTTTCCCGGTACTTGTTTGCGGCTGGAAGGGCATCCACTGTGTAAAACATATGCTTGGCGGTTCATTCCGCTGTGGTGACCCTTGCTCAATAAAGAGACCGAGTCGGATAACACTTTAGGTCACAATTCACGGTATTAACAAACCATTAACTAACACTATTAGCTTAATAAACGACTAATTAGCTGTTTAATAATAATTAGTAAGGCAGTAGTTGGGTTTAGGTTTTGGGTACGTTTGGTGATGTAGAATTAGACCGTCCTTTATAACTACTAATGAACAGTTCATATCTTAATAATAGACAGCTGGTGACATGAATTGTGACCTAAACTAAAGGGTTACCCAGGGCCGGATTAACCTAGGGGCACAAGCACACCTGTGGGGGGAGGGGGGGATGCAGATTTTGTAGTGTCTATTTAGGCTAAGTGCAAATAGCACACCTTGTTGGAATGAGCTAGTTGAGTGATTCTCACCCATCACCGTTTGATTAACAGACAACATAACTAAAGAGAGCGGCAAACCGCATCGTGAGTGGCGCAGCTCGTAAAGCGCATGGCAACATGTTTTGACACGATTGATCATGAACCCAGTTAGAATCCAGCGTCTGATGAACTCATTTTTCTTTCTCCCACTACATATCAGATTTTGCCTACTCATCACGAGGAAGACAAGTAGGAGTCATTAATAAGAGTGTGTATTATGGAAGACAGATTCATAGAACTGAACCGGATTAGAGAGGTGCTATATCCAAATCATGTGCATTCTATGGTGTGAAAGTTATACATTAAAAATACCCTAAATATATACATTTTTAGTAGTGTTTCAGTGAACCTGAACAGGTATATTAAAATCCATTAATGTTCACTAGTTGTATTAGAATTTTTTTTTTTCAGAGGGTGCTTTAAATGCTTTAAAAATAAGTTCAATCTTTGTAGATTAGAAATATAGGCACTGTATATCTTTATTTTTTATACAGGCAATACATTATAGATTAAATTTATTTAAAAATATGATATTAATCTTGGGCGACACAGTGGCGCAGTAGGTAGTGCTGTTGCCTCACAGGAAGAAGGTTGCTGGTTCGATCCTCGGCTCAGTTGGCGTTTCTGTGTGGAGTTTGCATGTTCTCCCTGCCTTCGCATGGGTTTCCTCCGGGTGCTCCGGTTTCCCCCACAGTCCAAACACATGCAGTACAGGTGAATTGGGTAGGCTAAATTGTCCATAGTGTATGTGGATGTTTCCCATAGATGGGTTGCGGCTGGAGGGGCATCCGCTGCGTAAAAACATGCTGGATAAGTTGGCGGTTCATTCCACTGTGGCGACCCCAGATTAATAAAGGGACTAAGCCGACAAGAAAATGAATGAATGAATGAAATTAATCTTATTTTTTAATTCAACTACAGGGGTACGGACAGGTTGGGGGTCTACAAGACATTGTGCCCAGGGGCCTCTGAATTCTTAATCCGGGCCTGTAAGCCTAAGGAAAATGAATGAATAAAGCATGAAGTATGCCAATGAAAATGTTCTTGTATTGTCTCTATCATTAATAAAAGTATTAGTTTCTTTTTAAAAAATCGATCGATTTTAGATCTAATTTTTTGCTTGTTCAAACTACTTATTTAAAATAAGCTGAATCAACACAATTTTTGAGATTTCATTGCGACAACTTAATATTTTTATGTTCAATCCACATACATTTAATAAAAGTGTTAAGATTTAACCGATTTGTGTTGGGACAACATGAATGAATTGTGTGGAACCCTGCATTTTCACAGTGTAAAATATTTCCATTGCAAGTTACAAGCATTTCAATGTCAGTGCTATAATGTGTTACGTAGAAAAACAAAACAATACTGCATACTGACTAGACAACTGACTAGACAAAGAAAAACTGGCCTTTTTTATTTTTTAAGAGAACAAATGACATATAAAACAATCAAGTTTTGTACACAAATAATGTCTTTACTGGGTTTGGCTTCACTACATGTGTCTATGATGAATAAAAGGAAAATATCCCATAATTTATTGTGCATTAGACATTATAAAAAAACAGAAATGTGCGCACATCTAGAAAATCTTGAAGGCAGGTGCACGATCAAAAAACAAACATAAGTAGCAAAAGATTCAAAGTAAATCGGCACACTGCCACTTTAGCTCTCAAAAAATTTTTAATGTCAATATTACAAAATCGCAACGTTTCGACCGACACCTGATGAAGACCATGTCGGTCGAAACGTTGTGATTTTGTAATATTGACATTAAAACTTTTTTGAGAGCTAAAGTGGCAGTGTGCCGATTTACTTTGAATCTTTTTTTCCCATTAGACATTATAAGCATGCTTTTTGTCTATGATGAATAAAAAAAAAAATGTGACTCTTTTTGCAAATTATAAACAAGCGTTTTATAATGTAGCAAACTATATTAAATTGACAAGTTCATGCTTGTAATTTGTAATACAAAATGGTATTAGTAAAATAACAGATTTTTTATTTAAAGAAAGGGAGAAACTAATACTCTAATTTATCAAAGAGACATGAATGTAAGTGAAACAGTAAAGTTGAGTTTCAAAGAGGGGGGGGGGGTCTATTTATAGTGTATCCCTTATATTTTTAAATAATAAATCTGCACATGCAAAACAATGATAATTTGTTTAAGATGAAAAAAGCACTATATTTCATTAACTAAAGGATAACTAACATCAAGCCTAATGCCAGAGCTGTGTTCAATTCAATCCAATTTTATTAATAAAACACTTTTCACAATAATTACTGTTTCAAAGCATTTTTACAGAAGATGCACATTACTGCATTACAATCAACATCAGAAAAGTAAAGTTTAGTTACCATAAGCCTATTAGTTTTTAATATCTTTAACTAATTAACTAGTAACGAATAGCCTTTAACAGTTAAAGTTGATATATATAAGCATAGTTAACCTGCAGTTATATAGTATATTGGTGATGTCTGTGTGTATGGTCAATCAAGCGTATTTGTTTGCATCTGATATTCTCAATAGCTGGAAACAGTGAGGCAGGTGTTAGTTGTCTATTTATGGAGATCAACAACTAAAGGTCTCATTACTGACCCCAGACCACATTTAACTGCAGATAAACCCCTGCGCCTCCGCTTCTCCCTTCACACCCTTATTTGGCTCTGCGTTTGCCTCTATAAAGATCAGCAGTGGTGTTAGTGAGTCTACAGTTTTCCTCAACTGAGGAGAGATCCAGATCTGAAAAACTCCTGAAAACCATATTCACGATGGGTGATGCTTTAATGGCAGAGTTCGGGAAGGCGGCTCCATTCCTGAGGAAATCTGACAAAGAGCGTCTGGAAGCTCAAACCAGAGCCTTCGATATCAAAACCGAATGTTTCGTGGTGGATGAAAAGGTGGAGTACGTGAAGGGGCAAATCCAGAATAAGGATGGAGGGAAGGTGACTGTAAAAACTGAAGATGGAAGAACGGTGACGGTCAAAGATGGAGATGTGCATCCTCAAAACCCGCCTAAATTCGATAAAATCGAGGACATGGCGATGCTGACGTTTCTTCATGAACCTGCGGTGCTGTTCAATCTAAAGGAGAGATACACCGCATGGATGATCTACACCTATTCTGGGCTGTTTTGTGTCACCGTAAACCCTTATAAGTGGTTACCGGTGTATGATGCAGATGTAGTCGCTGCTTACCGTGGTAAGAAGAGGACAGAAGCGCCTCCTCACATCTTCTCCATCTCAGATAATGCTTATCAATACATGCTGACCGACCGGGAGAATCAGTCTGTGCTCATCACCGGAGAATCCGGCGCTGGGAAGACTGTAAACACTAAGAGGGTCATCCAGTATTTTGCTAGCATCGCTGCCGCTGGGGGATCCGCTGGAAAAAAGGACTCGAGCAAGGGAACGTTGGAGGATCAGATTATTCAAGCTAACCCTGCGCTGGAGGCTTTCGGCAATGCGAAAACGCTCCGAAACGACAACTCGTCTCGCTTCGGGAAATTCATCCGCATTCATTTCGGGACGAGCGGAAAACTGTCATCGGCTGATATCGAAACGTACCTGTTGGAGAAGTCAAGAGTGACCTTCCAGCTGAAGTCTGAGAGAAACTACCATATCTTCTTCCAGATATTATCCAACGAGAAGCCCGAGCTTCTGGACATGCTATTGATCACCAATAATCCATACGACTACTCGTACATCTCACAAGGAGAAGTGACCGTCTCATCTATCAATGATAATGAGGAGCTGATAGCGACCGATAAGGCTTTTGATGTGCTTGGCTTCACGTCTGAGGAGAAGATGGGAGTCTATAAGCTGACCGGCGCTATCATGCATTACGGAAACATGAAATTCAAGCAGAAGCAGCGCGAGGAGCAGGCCGAGCCCGACGGCACTGAAGACGCAGATAAAGCAGCTTATCTAATGGGGCTGAACTCTGCCGACCTGCTCAAAGGACTCTGCCATCCAAGGGTTAAGGTGGGCAATGAATATGTTACAAAAGGACAAAGTGTGGACCAGGTGTATTACTCAATCGGCGCACTGGCCAAGTCGGTGTATGAGAAAATGTTCAACTGGATGGTGGTGAGAATTAACCAATCCCTCGACACCAAGCAACATCGACAGTATTTCATCGGTGTGCTTGACATCGCTGGCTTTGAAATCTTTGATTTCAACACATTTGAACAACTCTGCATTAATTTCACCAACGAGAAGCTGCAACAGTTCTTCAATCACCACATGTTTGTTCTGGAGCAGGAGGAATACAAAAAAGAGGGAATTGACTGGGAGTTCATTGACTTCGGGATGGATCTGCAATCCTGCATTGATCTGATTGAGAAACCCCTAGGGATCATGTCAATTCTGGAGGAAGAGTGCATGTTTCCAAAGGCCAGCGATCAAACATTTAAAGCAAAGCTTTATGACAACCACCTAGGGAAAACCAACATTTTCCAGAAGCCACGAGCTGTGAAGGGAAAGGCAGAAGCACACTTTGCTTTATCCCACTATGCAGGTACTGTCGACTATAATATAGCGGGTTGGCTGGTGAAGAACAAAGACCCGCTGAATGAAACAGTAGTCGGACTTTATCAGAAGTCTTCATTGAAGCTGTTGAGTCTTTTATTCTCCAGTTATGCAGGATCAGACGGCGGTGAAAAATCAGGTGGGAAAGGGGCCAAGAAAAAGGGCTCATCTTTTCAGACGGTGTCTGCCCTGCATAGAGAAAACCTTAACAAATTAATGACCAATCTGAAAACCACTCACCCACACTTTGTCCGCTGTTTAATTCCAAATGAGAGCAAGATTCCGGGAATCATGGACAACTGTTTGGTCATGCACCAGCTCCGCTGCAATGGTGTACTAGAGGGAATCAGGATTTGCAGGAAAGGTTTCCCCAACAGGATTCTTTATGGAGATTTCAAACAAAGATACAGAATCCTGAACGCATCAGCCATCCCAGAAGGACAGTTCATAGAGAACAAGAAGAGTGCAGAGAAGCTGTTGGGGTCTCTAGATATTGACCACACGCAATACAAATTTGGCCACACAAAGGTCTTTTTTAAAGCAGGTCTACTCGGTACCTTGGAGGAGATGCGAGATGACCAACTCGCTCGTATCCTCACTGGAATCCAAGCATTCGCTCGTGGACTTCTGATGAGAGTCGAGTATCAGAAACTGGTGGAGCGTAGAGATGCGCTGATGGTGGTGCAGTGGAACCTGCGCTCCTTCCTCGGTGTGAAAAACTGGCCGTGGATGAAACTCTTCTTCAAGATAAAACCCTTGCTGAAGAGCGCCGAGTCTGAAAAGGAGATGGCAAACATGAAAGATGAATTCAATAAGTTGAAGGAAGCCTTGGAAAAATCTGACGCCAGAAGGAAAGAGTTGGAGGAAAAAATGGTGTCGTTGCTTCAAGAGAAGAATGATTTGCTCCTTCAGGTGCAATCGGAGCAGGACACGCTAACGGACGCAGAGGAACGATGTGAGCAGCTCATAAAAAGCAAGATCCAGCTAGAAGCTAAAGTTAAAGAGCTGTCGGAGAGAATTGAGGATGAGGAAGAAATAAATGCAGATCTCACAGCCAAGAGACGCAAGCTAGAAGACGAATGCTCTGAGCTCAAGAAAGACATCGATGACCTGGAACTGACACTGGCTAAGGTAGAAAAGGAAAAGCATGCTACTGAGAACAAAGTGAAGAATATTACCGAAGAAATGGCATCTCTTGATGAAAATATAATGAAACTCACCAAGGAGAAAAAAGCACTGCAGGAGGCTCACCAGCAGACACTGGATGACCTTCAAAGTGAGGAGGACAAAGTGAACACACTAACAAAAGCCAAAGTTAAGCTTGAACAACAGGTGGATGATCTTGAGGGCTCGCTGGAGCAGGAGAAAAAAGTCAGAATGGACTTGGAGCGCAGCAAGAGGAAGCTGGAAGGAGATGTCAAACTGACTCAAGAAAATGTAATGGACTTAGAAAACGACAAACAGCAACTGGAGGACAAGCTCAAGAAGAAAGACTTTGAGATCAATCAGCTGAATCAAAGAATCGAAGATGAGCAAATGGCTTCGGTGCAGTTGCAGAAGAAATTAAAAGAAAACCAAGCTCGGATTGAAGAACTCGAAGAGGAGCTGGATGCAGAGCGAGCTGCTCGTGCAAAAGTGGAGAAGCAGCGATCTGACATTTCCAGAGAACTGGAGGACATCAGCGAGCGCCTGGAGGAGGCAGGGGGAGCCACGTCTGCTCAGGTGGAGCTCAATAAAAAAAGAGATGCAGAGTTTCAGAAGATCCGCAGGGATCTTGAGGAATCCACCCTTCAGCATGAAGCCACTACCGCCTCTCTACGGAAGAAGCACGCAGACAGTGTTGCTGAACTCGGGGAACAGATTGACAACTTGCAAAGAGTCAAACAAAAGCTAGAGAAGGAAAAAGTAGAGTTAAAGTTGGAATTGGACGACCTTGCCTCAAACATGGAGAGTATTGTAAAAGCCAAGGTCAATCTAGAAAAGATGTGCCGATCACTTGAAGATCAGATGAATGAGCACAGGTCAAAAGCTGAAGAAGCCCAAAGAGCTCTTAATGACGTGTCAACACAGAAAGCGAAGCTTCTGACTGAAAATGGTGAACTTGGACGTCAGCTGGAGGAGAAAGAATGTTTGATTTCCCAACTTACCCGAGGAAAGACTTCCTACACGCAACAACTTGAAGACCTGAGAAGGCAACTTGAGGAAGAAGTAAAAGCAAAGAACGCTCTGGCTCATGCCGTACAGTCAGCACGTCATGATTGTGATTTACTCAGAGAGCAATTTGAAGAGGAACAAGAAGCAAAAGCCGAGCTCCAGCGAGCATTATCAAAGGCTAATACAGAGGTGGCAACATGGAGGGCGAGATATGAGACTGATGGCATTCAGAGAACCGAGGAACTGGAGGACGCAAAGAAGAAACTTGTTCAGAAACTGCAAGAAGCAGAAGAAGCCGTGGAGGCGGTGAATGCAAAGTGTTCTTCACTGGAGAAAACCAAACATCGCCTGCAAAATGAGATTGAAGATTTGATGCTGGATCTTGAGCGGTCCAATGCGGCGTCCGCAGCTCTGGATAAGAAACAGAGATCTTTCGATAAAGTCATGGCAGAGTGGAAGCAGAAATATGAAGAGTCACAATGTGAGCTTGAAGGAGCGCAAAAAGAGGCTCGCAGTTTAAGCACTGAACTCTTCAAGCTGAAGAACTCCTATGAAGAAACTCTCGATCACCTAGAGACCATCAAAAGAGAAAACAAGAATCTACAGGAGGAGATCTCTGACTTGACGGATCAAGTAAGCGAAGGGCGAAAGAGTGTCCATGAGTTGGAAAAACTGAGGAAGCAATTGGAACAGGAGAAAACGGAGTTGCAGTCGGCACTAGAAGAAGCTGATGCTTCAGTCGAGCATGAAGAAGGTAAAATCTTACGGGCTCAGCTAGAGTTTAATCAACTCAAGGCAGATTTCGAGCGCAAGATGTCTGAGAAGGATGAAGAAATGGAGCAAGCGAGGAGAAACTATCAGCGTATGATTGAATCCTTGCAAGCCTCTCTTGAGGCAGAGACGAGAAGCCGTAATGAAGCCTTACGAGTGAAGAAGAAAATGGAGGGAGATCTTAACGAAATGGAAATTCAGTTAAGCCAAGCCAACAGACAGGCAGCTGATGCTCAAAAGCAGCTCAAGATGGTCCAATCATGCTTGAAAGAAACCCAACTCCAGATGGACGACACTCTCCACAGTAATGATGACCTCAAAGAAAACATAACTCTACTGGAGCGTCGAAACAATCTCATGCAAACCGAATTAGAAGAACTCAGAGGCATTCTGGAGCAAACCGAAAGAGTTCGCAAACTTGCCGAGCAAGAACTCACCGATGCAACCGAACGGATGCAACTCCTGCACTCACAAAACACAGGCCTCATCAATCAAAAGAAGAAGCAAGAGTCGGATCTTCTCCAGCTGCAAAACGAACTGGAGGAACTTGTGCAAGAGAACCGCAATGCTGAAGAGAAGGCAAAGAAGGCGATCACTGATGCAGCGATGATGGCCGAAGAGTTGAAGAAGGAGCAAGACACGAGCGCACATCTTGAAAGGATGAAGAAGAATATGGAGCAGACGATTAAGGATCTGCAACACCGTCTAGACGAAGCCGAGCAGGTAGCGATGAAAGGAGGGAAAAAGCAGCTACAAAAAATGGAGGCGCGCATCCGTGAGCTTGAGAATGAGCTGGACGCTGAGCAAAAGAGAGGATCGGAGTCTGTTAAAGGGGTGAGGAAATTCGAGCGGCGCATAAAAGAGCTGACCTATCAGACGGACGAGGATCGCAAGAATTTGGCTAGACTGCAAGATTTGGTGGACAAGCTGCAGCTGAAGGTGAAATCCTACAAACGTTCGGCTGAAGAAGCCGAAGAGCTGGCCAATGCAAACACAGCCAAATTACGAAAACTCCAACATGAGCTGGAAGAAGCAGAAGAGCGGGCGGACATCGCAGAATCACAAGTGAATAAACTGCGTGCCAAAACTAGAGATGGCGCACCTGGAAAGAAAACTCAAGACGAGTAACATTGATAGTGCAATCGCACTTTGATTTGTTTGTTCACTGGTTTTAAAGGGGTAGTTCACCTAAAAAAAAAAAGACAATTTCCTGTTAGCTTACTAGTTTTAATTTACTTTTTAGACATCCAAGATGTAGATGAGAACATTTAAGTAAATTCTGAGCTGAATCTGTGGTCCTGGGTGATTACGATATGCATTACGATACATGTTACGTAGAAGATTAATATTATTCCGTAACTTGTTCGATTCCTTACACATACAGTAGGTAAAATTCAATGTGGCCATTACCGCCATGGCATATACCGCCGCCACTTTAAATGGGCAAGCATGTGTTTTTAATGTATGACCGCAGTTTGTGAATATTCCACCAGGGGGCACAAAGGGACGAACGGACAGAAATAGCCTACACTGCAGCTGTAAATATGCTACTGTACTTATAAATGAAGATGAAACGATGAAACCAAACATTATAATTCCTTCATTAATCATTTGTTACAGGCTTTATTATCATTGTAAACTTGTAAAGTGCAATCAGGATTCATTTTGAAAACTGAAGAAATAAAAGACATCTAAAATGAAAGCGCAAACATTCAGTACAAATAAGTGTGCCTAAATAAATAAATAAAGCAGTCCTAAATATAGAGAGATGTTCAGCGGTTGCTATTTTGATAGTACTAAGACCGTCATTAAATCAGCTTTTTCATTTATGTTTTCATTTACGCTTTTATTTACATTTTCCTTGTTGATTATATTTTCTATCTCATTTTATGTCTCAATTATTGTACATAATAATAAATGAATAATGAAAAATAAATGAATAATGAAGATAGGACTAAATAATTATATATTTAAAGACACTGCAGAGAAACACTAAACAGGCCGGCGCGTGGTCTCAAGAGCTTAAGTTGAACGCTGCTTCATCAAAAGCATAAAAATAAACTGACCCACCTCAAGCAGATCACTAAAGGTATAATAAAAATACTTTTGCCGCAGGACATAAATGAAGTCTCGCAGGTTTAATTTTGATAATTAGGTTCGATGTTCTCCTTTAAAATATAGTTGTTGATTTGTTTAGTTTTTTCACTTGTAGTAATGGGTCAGTATCTTTCGTATTTTAATTTCAATTTCAGTCACCTTGCGTGTGTAATATAATGCCCGCATGACCGCGTAAAAAGAAGAAAATCTGTCAAAAGTCAGAGCTTATTCATCAAAATTCCTTCATTCATTTTCTTGTCGGCTTAGTCCCTTTATTAATCCGGGGTCGCCACAGCGGAATGAACCGCCAACTTATCCAGCAAGTTTTTACGCAGCAGATGCCCTTCCAGCTGCAACCCATCTCTGGGAATTCATCAAAATGAGCTATATTAAAACACAGCATGCACAGAGTGTGAACAAACTCAGGGTAAGGATAAGATATGCGCTTGCCTTTTACCAATGGTTTCTCTTCACAAGACCTTAATGCATCATTAGGAGCCATGATTATTGATTTGGACTCATTTGTATTTGTATTGTATCGTTTGTGTGTTTTTAACACAATCCTGTCGCCATTCTTTAATGCTCTAATGAAGAAAAAACCTCACCTACATTTTAGATGACCTGAGGGCGGATAAATGAACAGAAGATGTCAATTTAGCGTGAACTACCCCTTTAAGAAGAGCACATCTGCACAAATACTATTAAAAGTAATCATCTTTATTTTATAGCACTTTCACTATGGACAGTAGATCAAAGTGTCAAAAGATTGAAGAAAACAGAATAGAAAGCCTTGATATTTCACACATGCCTGTAAACCTTTAAAGAGTAGTAAAACCAAGACTGAACACCAAGTTTGACTCAACTTGAAAGCACTTTTGATGTTAAACCTGAAATAAAATGCTTTTGAATCGCTGGATTTTAATCTTTATTGTCTGTGCTGTTTAATGGTTCGAGGACCTTTTCCACACAGTTTTTACCAGTATATTTCTTCTCTTTTAGTTTGGCTGGAATAATAAAAAATAAACAACTAAAAACTGGGCGACGCAGTGGTGCAGTAGGTAGTGCTGTCGCCTCACAGCAAGAAGGTCGCTGGTTCGAGCCTCAGCTCGGCTCAGTTGGCGTTTCTGGGTGGAGTTTGCATGTTCTCCCTGCATTCACGTGGGTTTCCTCCGGGTGCTCCGGTTTCCCCCACAGTCCAAACACATGCGGTACAGGTGAATTGGGTAGGCTAAATTGTCCGTAGTGTATGAGTGTGTGTGGATGTTTCCCAGAGATGGGTTGCGGCTGAAAGGGCATCCGCTGCATAAAAACGTGCTGGATAAGTTGGCGGTTCATTCCGCTGTGGCGACCCCGGATTAATAAAGGGACTAAGCCGACAAGAAAATGAATGAATGCATCAATGAATGAACTAAAAACTGATCTCTCTTAAGATCTTAAGCCCTCTTAAGATTTTTTCCCACATTGGCTAGAGCAGGGGTTCCCGAACTTTTCAGCCCGCGACCTCAAAAATAATCATATCAGTGGCTCGCGACCCCTATTTTTCAAGGTGGTTGTACTGTTGATTGTCACCGGATGTCAAGGGAGCGAAGACAAGAGGTTGGATCCAAATGCAATTTTAATGAAAAAGATTATTCGTGCAGGCAAAAACAAGTGAGGTCAAAAAACAAGAACTCGGGTATCATGAAGGGCATCAAAAATGCAAAAACAAAGCGATGATCAAAGTACAAAAAGTTACAAAACAATCATCAAAACATAACTAGAAAAACTATAAACAGGACGACACTCACTAAAACCATACAGGTACTGACACACAAAGATTCCGCATAGTCTGGTGTGTGCAATGTGTATAAATAGTCCAAACAATTGATGATGACGATATTCAGCTGTGTGTGATTAATGGTGACTGGTTTGTGCAAAGGCATGCTGGGATATGTAGTTCATGAATGACATGTGTAGTATGCCAGCGATCTTTCAGGAACAGATTGCTGGTTATGTGACAGTTAATATGTAAACGTTGCAGACACAACTATAGGCAAATATAAACATGAGCTTATTGACAACACAAAAATGCAACAGTCTATTAGCCATATAATGTTTTTTAAAGCCATTTATGGATTTAATTACATTTTGCTTTTAAAATTAAAGGCTGATGGCTGATTGTTATTTTTATGTTGTTGTTTCTTTAATGCAACTATTAACTATATTCTGTCGGTTATGAATAAAATATGGTAATTCTCATAGTTTAATAAAATTTATTTGAGTTTTGGATATCACCAAGCGACCCCTTGTCATTGTCCCGCGACCCCCCAGGGGGTCCCGACCCCCACTTTGAGAACCACTGGGCAAGAGAACAAACAACTGTTGTCCAATGACTTGCAAAATTAAGCTAAAAAATGAACAGAAAGCAATTAGTTATAAGAAACTAACTATAGATTTGCCATAGATATATACACTATAGATATCGCATAGGGATCCTCAGCATGCGTCAATAGCGCCGCCATATTGGTACAGTGCTCCCAGGACAAATGTCATTCAACCGCACTAGTCAAGACAGTGTTTTACGTGAAGATGCGGGACTTTAGTGCTGTCTACGGGTGTAGTAACGAGCAAACAAAGAAAACAAAGCACAAAGGCAGAACATTTCATAGGTAAGATTGTTTTTTTCTGTTTTTGTATGTTCTGAACTTTTGTGCTAATCAGGTAACGTTATTGATGATAACAGTCACTTACTGCATTCACCAAACGGCAAAGCAGCTCCAACTCGCACTAGACACTCGGCTTATGCTAGTTTTGTTAAATAAAATCAGCAAACAATGCCAAAGAAATATGACAACGAGATGTTGCTCTGCCAGAAACTTGTATTATTGTCGCCTAACGTTAGTGAAAGAGTCGTTCGGGGGATTCATTCACAAACGAATCGCTCCCTCCGTCAGTATGAGAAGTGAAAGCAGGAGAGGAGCTGTGTTTCAGGACATGATTAGATCAGATTTAACAGGGAGGGTGGATAATACATGTCCATGCACACAAACACAAGCTTTTTGTCAGGAATGCCCGTGCGGTCACTGATCCATCAATGTAGTGTATATGTATGTGTATATGTGTAATTCTCTGGCTTTGGATGGCTACAGTCCTCCACTGCAGCTTGGTCCCACATTCATTTCAAAGGAGCGCTACCCTGTACTAAAATGGCGGCTCTATTAACGCATTCCTTCCAATGGACAACAACAGGGTAGGTGACATCTATTGTATATATCTATGTAGATTTACTTCGTACATATATATATACATATACATACATATATATATATATATATATATATATATATATGTATGTATATGTATATATATATGTACGAAGTAAATCTACATAGATATATACAATAGATGTCACCTACCCTGTTGTTGTCCATTGGAAGGAATGCGTTAATAGAGCCGCCATTTTAGTACAGGGTAGCGCTCCTTTGAAATGAATGTGGGACCAAGCTGCAGTGGAGGACTGTAGCCATCCAAAGCCAGAGAATTACACATATACACATACATATACACTACATTGATGGATCAGTGACCGCACGGGCATTCCTGACAAAAAGCTTGTGTTTGTGTGCATGGACATGTATTATCCACCCTCCCTGTTAAATCTGATCTAATCATGTCCTGAAACACAGCTCCTCTCCTGCTTTCACTTCTCATACTGACGGAGGGAGCGATTCGTTTGTGAATGAATCCCCCGAACGACTCTTTCACTAACGTTAGGCGACAATAATACAAGTTTCTGGCAGAGCAACATCTCGTTGTCATATTTCTTTGGCATTGTTTGCTGATTTTATTTAACAAAACTAGCATAAGCCGAGTGTCTAGTGCGAGTTGGAGCTGCTTTGCCGTTTGGTGAATGCAGTAAGTGACTGTTATCATCAATAACGTTACCTGATTAGCACAAAAGTTCAGAACATACAAAAACAGAAAAAAACAATCTTACCTATGAAATGTTCTGCCTTTGTGCTTTGTTTTCTTTGTTTGCTCGTTACTACACCCGTAGACAGCACTAAAGTCCCGCATCTTCACGTAAAACACTGTCTTGACTAGTGCGGTTGAATGACA